CTAAATATTACAATTTATAAATACAAAGGGTCAAAAAAATAATAATATTTTTGTATTTTATATAAACATAATATAATAATAATGATTATGAACTAATGAAGTTTAATAATTATTCACTATATTATTAATATAAATATAATAATAATGTATTTTGTATATATATATATATATATAATATTTTTGTACAAAAAAATAAAACGGGACAAACAGGACGGTTCGGGAAAAAAATATTAAAAACTTATACCGGCATTGTTTAAATCTGTTCGAGACCGGGAACGAGACAAAAATAAAGAAAATCTTTTTGAACCCTATTTTTTGGAACGGGACCATTTTGGTCCGGTTCGGGACCGGGAAATTCGATTTTTTTGTCACCCCTAATATCGGGCAGCTTATGTAAAATAGAATAAATATCACACTAGTTACACATATGATATATTATATTGAAATGTTATTAAATTTAGCATAAAATATTTCTTGCAACCTTCTAGTGGACATGTTTCTAGACTTTGTAATTTGTAGTATTTTTCTTGATAAAATGTAATTTAGACTTTTTTAACATTAATAAGTTGCAATTTTCTATTATATCATTATGATTTTTATTTTCTTTGATGATAAAATTATAAATAAGTTTTGTATTATTATGTTTTTAAATGACAGATTGTCGATCATAGTAAGTGCCAGTATATTACACATCTTTTTTTTTGTTTCAATCGATATGTTTGATTGTGTAAACTATGAAGATAGTGTTATAGAAGGGTGGAAAAAGGTTATGTTTTTTCATTTTTGTTTTGCCAATTGAAAACAACGGGAGGGTTTGTGAGCATTTGTAATTTTCTAAAAAATAGTGGAGTTGTTTATTATTTTTATTATTCGATGGAGGTTTCTAGTGTATTAGATAGACCTATACTATTTCTTCTTTTACAAATAATTGCTGTTTATATATAGAGGAAACTAGTTGTCTGTCGGTTGTGCGTGATATCCAGTCGTTACATTTAGTCATTTATAGATAGAAAATTTGTTTAGTATTTAAATTATCATTTTCATTGTCTTCAAATTGTTGAAATGAAGTTGAGACGTAATGTGCGTTTCGAAAAGTAATGTATGTTCCGAATGACAACATTTACGTTTGTATTATGTAATTGTGCAAAGTCGGGTAGAGTTGCATATCCTTTGGTTTGAGAATGTTGATGTTTGATATGACTATTTCTATATTGTTGGAATGGTGTTCTTATTTTTTACCTTTGTGTTATGTATCTCAGTTGATAAATAGTTTTTAGCTATTTTATCGAATCTATAGTTGGTTTATCGAATATGTAGGATTTCGTTTATTATTAATATTAAACTTTCGTTTTGAACGTGTCTTTTATTTTTGGTTGTTATTGTCATAGTTTGTGAATTATTTAAATCGAGCAATAGAAAAAAATAATTGAAGGCATGCAAGTGATAGATCTGGTTGTTTAAAATAGATGGTTGTTATAACATAACTAACCATTGATAGACTTCGTGTTTAACCAAATAACGATGCAAAGTTTTGGTTAGGCATATATAATTTTGTGATTCGAATGAAATAAATGTTTTTGGATTATGCTTTTTACAGTTCGATTTGTTTGGTAACTAAATGTTCTAACAGTAGTTATGCTAAATTTTTACTTTTTTTGTTCCTACATTGTGTTTAAAATTATTAAAAATCAAGAGAAGTCATTATAAGCCTGTAATTGTTAATCGTTTATGCAAATATATAATAATTTGTTTTTAAGTTAAGTTGGACAAATAAATATTACTATATTGATTTCTAATTATTGTTTCACAAATAATATAGTTTAGGAAAGTTCTAAGGTGTCGTTCACCATTTTAAGGGAACCATTCCCTTGCTTTTTATCCAATACAAACATGCCAAGTCATTTGATAGTGTAGTAAGTGATGTATACGATATTTTCTCATAGAAAGTTAACCTCCACTCCACCCACAACTTATTCTTTTTTAAAAATAAATTATATGTCGTCCGCCCCCAACTTATATGTTTCTTAAAAATAAAAATGACTAGTACGACACCCGTGTATTACACGGGTGCTTGCTAATTATTTTTTTTTCTTAAAATTTACAATTAATGAAAAAAAGTGGTTGAAAATTTAAATACTTTTTATAAAAAATTATATATTATTATATATTTTAGTATGACACTTGTTACTTGTGCAACTTACATGTGTTATATTATAATAATTTTTCTAACTTATAACATACTACATTAAACATAAATATATTAATTCAAAAATAATTTTATTTTTCTAATGAATTTCAATAAATAATTTAATAATTATTATAAAGATAAATACAATATATTTATTTTGTATATAAAATATGGATGTCAAATCGAAGTTAACCAAAAGATGATTAATTTAATATATTATATATGTAAAACCGATAAAAAGTACAAAAGTTATAAACTTTTAAATAATGTAGAGAACAACTACATTTTATAAATATAATTTTGGAGGTATATCAATAATGTCTATAAAATCATATTGGGAAAAAATATACGAAGCAAATATTTCACAACATATATTAGATATACACTACTTTTTTTTATTTGTTATCTAATTATTGCAATGGTTATAAAATATTTTTAAATAAAATGCCTATAAGATATTTTATGAAGCCCGTTACTTGGAGCCAACGTGTCCCACTGGGTTGCTACTTCTTTGTTTATATTAAGAGGGGATTTTGGATTTTGATAACAAAATACTAACAATGATAACAAAATAATAATAATAATAATAATAATAATAATAATAACAATAAAGAAAAAATATATGTGGCATAATTATTTATCAGCGACTTCTTTCCATATAATACAACCGACTCTACAAGTTTGTCAACACCATAATGTCAAAGAATTAGAACACATACTAAATTAAACATATTCAGAATTTCATATATTATTATTTCATTAAATAAAAATCAGTTGTTTTATTTTTTATTATTATTTATTAAATATATTTATATATATATATTAGAAACCATCATTAATCAATTAATAACCTACTTATTTAATAAATAATAATAAAAAATAAAACAACGTGCGATGCACAAGTAAGATATATATTTATAAATTGAAAATGCTCATAAAATAATATTTATAAATTAAAAATATCAATATGTAATATGATATACCTAAATTAATTTATTGAAAATATTATATAAAATGTAAATTGTACGAAATTACATAAAAACATGTCTACTTAAAAATAATACACGATGACCTATAAGTGTTCGTAACTGATAATAATTACATTATAATCATTTTAAAGTAAGTGTTATTTTAAATTATTTGTTCAGAAATTCTATTTACTATAATGTGAATCCATAAAATAATAATTTTGGTAAAATTTTATAATTTATTTATAAATCTATGTGAATAATAAGTATAATTATAAAATTTATATTATTTAATTAATTAGAATGAATTTATTATAAACTATCCAAATAAAAAAATTTACATAGTTTAGTAAATAATTAAACTATAAAATTTGTTGAATTATCCTTGATATCTTATGGCAAGTTATTATGAGAATATTATAAAATGACACATGTCCTTTGTAAAACATAACGACCTTATATTATTATATTTTTTCTAATAAATAAAATAACCTTAATGAGTAATAGTTTCAAGTACTCAAATTACATAAATAAAAAATATTACTTTTATTATGAAAATACCATAACTGTTAGACATTTAGAATATAATAGATAGAAAAAACTTAAAAAATAATTTAGTGTAAATTATTTTATGATTTAAATACCATATATTGTTAGACATTATAAACCTAAAATATAAAAATGAGATAAACTTTAAAGAATAATTTAATGTTTAAAAAAATGTAGTTTAAAATTATGGTTCATGTTAATTAATACTATATATTTTTCTTACGTTGCTTATGGCAAAATTTGTTGGGTTCGATAGTACAGTACGGGCTGTACGCAGCGGAATTTAAAATTTTTAAAGTAAGTATTTATCGTATAAATACAACACCCGTACATACTAATTGCGAATTAACTGATCGTCATCTTTAAAACATGCATCATATACAAATTTTGATTTGTTACTATAAAGTAAATACTAGTAAAAATATTTACCGAATTTCTTGAACTCCTTCACTATTGATGATGGATGAGGGAATCGGTTCCCGGTTGTAACTTCAACGACTTGAGGTTACTC